AGTTTGGTTTGCTTTGCATAATCACTTTGCAGTAGCAAAGTGTTTTAGTCAGGATAATTTTCATTAAGTTTCTATCCAATGTTGTATGTCGATTCTGGCTTACTTACAATCAACTTAACACGCTCCTTCTTTCTTTGCTCGACGTTCCACCTAATAACATTTAATAATCTTTAATTTCATCAAAACTTCCCTGATTTCTTTTACAAAAACGAAGCTGCGATGCAAAGCAAAGAGATGGCTCTTCGCCTTTTATATTATAACTTATACATATATCTCTGTTACTTAACTTATTAAAAAACTTCTTACATAAATCTTCATTATTTAAAGGAAAAATATTTTATGCATTGCTGTAAATTTAAAGTTATTTTATGTATGTAAACAATTGTTTGTATTTCATCATTATATTAATATATGAAATAGGAAGTAAAACACTCATCAAACATTATTCATCCAATAATTGTGTGGTCTAGTAAAAGATTTGACAAATGTTCCAATCGTTTTTTGACATAATAATGAGCATCTTAACAATAATTCTACGAAATAAAGAGTTTTTATAGAAAAAAATGCTAATCGTTAAATCTTAAAGTAAAACATAGGTAGAAAATTGGTTAGTAAGTGATAATCATCATCATCATCGCCAGCCCTTTTACGTCCCCACCCCTACATTCCTTATGAATGGTTAAGGAAGATGGGCCATGACCCTCCACGCTGGCCCAATGCGGATTGGAGGGTATTAACGACTGCAAATGCAGCCGAGACCAACGGCTTCCGAATCACGAAGTAGCTCGAGATAATAATTTTTTGGTCACCCATCCCGTGACCGACCGTGCAAAAATTGCTTAACAACAATGATCTCGGACCGCGGCGCTTATCCTCTACGCCACTGAGCTACTCAAGTGATAATCAGCCAAACAATTTTCGGAGAAAAGGCAGGATATCGTCTCTTTTCATACTAGAGTCGACTCTTGTCAAAATGTAAAAAGATCAGGACGGTTCTTAAAAATTCTTTTACTTACAGGATGCTACATCATACGCGGGTCAAATCGACTATAATTTATGCCATCACAGCTGCGGGGAAACTGCTAATGACTTCTTCTTCTTCCTTATTCTATTTGACTTTAAAACTTTCTAAAAGAACTAAAAGAATTTCTTTTAGTTGTAACTGACGGAATAAAAGAATTTCTTTTAGGTCTACCTGACGGACTAAAAGAATTTCTTTCTTTTTCATCTAAGTATCATGCCTGTCGCTAAAGTACGTTTGCTAACTATCTGTCGGTTACACAACGAATTACATATGTAAATTTGGATTATGTATGCTTCACTAAATTAGTTATAAAGTTATTGTAACCCTTTACCTTAGATTATATAATTATTATGGAGTAACGAGCCGACCCGGCATCACATAAGTGTGATCTACGTATAGCTCTGACACATGCATTATGCACTGTCCTCGTCTGCTTGACAGGCAGCAGTCATCCTCACGGACACGCCCGAGGGCTACTCAAAAACCAGCCAGTTTCCCCTCGATAAAAAAAAAACAAAAGTTCACGTGATAGGTTAGAAATTTAAGACGATTGCAAAGCGCTTTTAACTCATATTTTATGTATTCTTGTGTCACAGTTTTAGTTGCCAAACTTCTTTGAAACGGCCAGACAGTTTTTATCAAAACTTTATACGTATATTAAAAAGGTATGGGAGTCGTTTGTTATTTATTTTTAATACCCCTGAGTTTTAATAGTATACACCATCAAAGACACAGACAAATATTAGTTTCCAATGCTATCGTACATACAAACAATTCATCACTTGAAAGTTAACAACATTACACAGTACATTCTTGTGTTATCTTCAGCATAATATAAATGTCGACTAGTATAAATGTGACAAGCGGGCGATCTATTTACATTACATGAAGTGATATTTGCTAAAATGTTCTCTTTGTATATTTTTTGTATTTTCTCTCTATTAAATGTTGTATTTTCTAGTGTTATCAACGACTATCAAAGTTATAAAGATTACAAATACTATAAAGTTGAAGGTGACATAGAAGGAATCAAAAGTTTAATTAAAATTATGAATGATTTTGCTGTAAGTAGAATATGTTTTAATATGTAGCATAATACATATTAATTTCGCATAAAAAAAAATATATTTATTTTAAGGAAAGATAACATATTCGACAGTTCCAGTATACAGTACCATTATAGAAGATTTTAAATCTATTTATCAAAATGTAAAATTAAATTGATATTGACGTTCTTTGGAAAAAAATCTACCACTTCTGATGACAATATCTCTAAGAAACCCAAAGTAAAGTTTTTTTCTGACATAGAATTGTGATTGAATTTATACTGACAAGCAAAAGTTACTAAAACCTTGATTTCTTCCAAAATATAAATAATCCACTAAAATAAGATGAAAAAATAATGTATAATACAGTTAATTGACTTATTTTAAAAATAATGTTTTACTATTCTTAAAAAATATTATATGAGAAATTTTCAAAGTTTAAGTTATCCATTACTTGTCCATTAATTGCTAATATTTCTTTGCAAATTTATATTAGAGGTGTACCGAATATTCGTTTGGTATTCGGTGTTCGACCTATTAGGTATCTTTCTCACTATTTGTATTCGGTCGAATTATTCGGTTTTGGTCTCAAACATTTTCGGTTCTAATATTTCTCTTTTTTGCCTACACGACAAGGCATTATGTTATAAATGTAAATTTAATGTAAATTTATGTTATATCATAAGACATAAATGTGCTCAATAAAAATAAAGCAATTAAACTTCAAATCATGATTTGTTTTAAACCAGTTTAGGCAACAAAAACAATGTACGGTACGGTAATGGTTGAACCGAATAGTATTCGGCATTCAGTTATTCGGTGAAACTCTAGAATTTTCGGTGCATCTCTAGTTCCTATGTTACTTGTCAGGAAGTACCTTACCACAACATACGCCGCTCTACTGCTCATTTACTGATAGCCCCAGAGTTGGTGAGGATATTTGAAGAGGCATTACGTTTACAAAAATTGAAGGGCACCGTTGAAGTCGATGATTATTCAGAGTAAGTATTATTTAGTTAATATGATATATTAACAATTTTAAATATGAATTGATATTAGTAATTATGGTTTTAAACTGAGAAAACACATAAACTAATTACAAAATAATTACAATTTACAACCGTATCCTCTTGCTTCTGAACTGTAAAAATAGCGAATATAAATTGTTCGATATTATCTATTCTGTACATAAAAAAAGAGTCACAATAGAGTCCGTACTCCATATTTTCTACTTTGTCTTTTATTTCTTCAGGATAATCCGTCTGGAGAAGTCTGGTGATCGCTCCATTAAAGGTTTTTCATGGACTGCATATTATGATATTGATGAGGTAAGCAAAACACGTATCACAGCGTCGGGAATCTAAATTGGACTTGACTTTTGACGAAAATTAAAAATCAATAAGAAATTTTCATAAGATGTCGTTGTACATTTATTAAGTTAAAGTATACAATTTGAATTCAACTGAAATCGTGAAATTTTCTGTTATATCTTATGATTACCACCACCACCACCAGCCCTTTTGCGTCCCCACTGCAGGGGCTCAGGCCTTCCTTAAGGATGGTTAAGGAGGATGGGCCATGACCCTCCACGCTGGCCCAATGCGGATTGGAGGGTATTAACGACTGCAAATGCAGCCGGGACCAACAGCTTAACGTGCCTTCCGAAGCACGGAGTAGCTCGAGATAATAATTTTTTGGTCACCCATCCCGTGACCGACCCTTGCGAAAGTTGCTTAACGATTACGATCGCGGGCCGCGGCGCTTATCCACTACGCCACCGAGCTACTCGTGGCTTATGATTAATAAACTATATCTTATGATTAATTCTAAAAAATTATAGGAAAGGATTTAAGAATATTAATTGTCACATTACATGTAGAAAACAACAACAATGAATTGATTCCTTTTGAAGTTTATTTTTCTATAAGTTAAGAAGAATTCAGTTTTACCAATTCATAGGCAAATTATGTACTTCACTACTAAAAGAGTGAAAAGATGTGGGTACTTAAAATATTCACAATACTTTCTAGAATTCATGTATATTCAGTATTCAAGTATGCTAAACGTGCTTTAAAGTAATATTATATAAGTATTTGAACGGAAAATTATGCTATCTGGATAATTGATGCCGAATAATAATAAAACAAAAGTGTTGTCTATTTTTAAGGTACCAAACCCAAAGCGTATAACGGGAACCCTATTACAAGACTTCGCTGTCCGTCTGTCCGTCTGTCATCAGGCTTTCATGAAACGTGAAAGATATTTATTGTTTGACAACCAAAGACCAATTAAAACAAAGAATATCATTTAACGGTGATTTATTTGTATTTTTCAACTTCATTTACTTTTCAATAAGGAAACACTTATTTTTAGTAATTTTTTGATCAACTCTTGATAGAATTATCAAATGTGTTTCATTAGATACTTTATAATTATTATTCACTGAAAATTATTACATCATTGTACAACGAACCTGTAGATTTTTTTATCAACTGTTTTTCTTCTTTATTTTCATAAAATACACGGTAGCGAGAGATATTGCTCACCTTTTAGGTAGATAAATTAGTTTCTCCGAAAACTAATTTTTGTCCAATTCAGTTCGCTAATATTATTTAAAAGAAAATTATTAATCAGATAAGCAGATAAACGCCATGAAAATGATCTGAACCAAAATCAGAAATATATTTCATAGTTTTCTGTAATTTCATATGTGGACAAAGGGTATCTTTGATAACTCAGTAAATGATAAGATAAATGACAATGTAACAATGAATAAATACAAAGAGTACATGGCTCTTTGTATATATTCCAAGCCATGAACTGTCAATAACCCAAATACAGTAATTACTTAGTAATATAATATTCCTGCCGCAGAATGTTTGTAACCATGTAAAACCGCAAGTGTGTAACTATCTTTGACTAAACAGATTATGGGATACTTGCAAAATGTAAGTAAGTCCTACCCAGAATCAGCTGAGGTGATAGTGGGAGGAAAAAGCTATGAAGGTCGACAGATCACTGGCATACGCATCAACACCCCATCACAAAAGAAAACTGACAAACCCGTAGTTTTTATAGAGTCAGGTAAAATATATTATAATATTTTTTCATTAATTAAGCAAACTTCTACAGCACTATGTTATTAATTTATCAAACTTCTACTACAGCCTCATTTTTTTTATTTACCCAAAGCATAGAAAATAATCGATAATAAAAACTTTAAATTACAATTCTAATCAATGTCTAAACTATACTGGCATAGTTATGCCAGTATATATTGATTAGAAATTCTAGAAAATTCATTTCATTAAAATTAAGTTATATATATCCTGAATTATTAATACATTTGAATAACCTTTTACTTCATGGGCGCCTCACGATTATCTTTAATTAATTCCTCATAGTTAGATATCGCATTATATTTTGATCGCAACCTTAATTTTTAGCAGTTCGTTGTTTAATGATCTGTTGGCGTGCAACATCATAATTTAGTTAGTGTTCAATTACGAAGATTTTTGACAATCATTTGCATTGACTTTAAAAGTAAATGCAATAATGTCAAAATAAAAATAATTTACTATTACATCTACCTTTATTATCAACGACAATTCTTATATTTATATATGTTTTTTTCTATTACACCAGGTATACATGCACGTGAATGGATCACACCGGCCACCACCACATATTTCATTAACCAGTTACTGGCCAGTCGGGACAGTAACATCACCAGGTTGAGAGATATGTTCGACTGGCGCATCTTTCCAACGGTCAATCCTGATGGATACACTTACAGTTTTAATAGAGTAAGAATATTTTCATTGATCACTCCTTTATGTCACATTGACACCTGCGTGGCGATTGCCCTTCGCTTTACCCATAATTCCCAGCCATTTCATACAATATCTGATCAATGTTATGCCGATATTTCGTATCTTTTACTACTTTGACATGTACTTTAGTAACGACAAATGAACGATAATGAATAATGATTATCAGTGCTACTTATAAACAAGGTTTAACGTAAGAGTAAATTTAAGCTAAAATTGCAATTTGAGTATTAGTTCATATTCATATTACACAGAGAATAAGCAAATCTACCACCATCTAGGAGCAAATATTACTTCGGTAGAAACTCGTACTAGGTTAACCTTTGTTAAGTCTCTGTTTAATAATATGAATTTTGAGTAATACTAAATGCAGCCTCAGGGTAAATTTACTCCAACGCTAGACTTTGTTTATAAGTAGCACTGTTAGGATTTAATATGAGTGTTACCAACGTACAACCGGTTTCTGAATTGAGAAAAGTAAAAAGTCTTAATTGATTATTCTTAATAACTTAAGGTTTTTACGTTTTACAAGTTTTAAGTCCCAGCTTTTTAATATAATTGATCAACTTTATATTGACAATGCTATATTAAAAATACTCTTAATGAAAAATGCTTAAAAATCCAGTTTTGGCACTCTGAGATGGGACTGCTCTGGCGACTGCTCTAACCACTGTGCTACCCAGGATCTAACAGGACTGACGAATCTTTCAAGCACTTGTTACTTTTCCTTGTTAGTACTGGTTTTATGAAAATACTTTCAACTGCCCTGCGATTCTGTAAAAATCCCAAACCCCAATTCGAATTCACTCGGGTGTCCGAATCGCTTCAAAAAGCGGCATGCGTTAAACCTTGAATTGGTAATAACGTCTCGTGGCATATGTGAAGTGAGTTTCGAAATGACATAGGAATAGAATATCTGAGATATATTCAATCAGTTTTGTTTTGTATTTATGTATGTACAAAAAATTGAATCAATAAAATTTCTACACTAAATGATATGAGTTCCGACTTCGAACTAGAATTCGGGTCTGGATTTTTTCAGAATCGCACGACTGATCATTGAAATCAGGAACGAAACACTGTTTAAAAGACGTTTAAGTAGAGTTTGAGATGTTTGCTAGTTATTATGAAAACAAACCAAGTTATTATGAAAAGAAAAATAAACCTAAATGTTTGATTAAATATGGATGTGAATAATAAATTTATAAAACACTATCCACATGTTCATAGATAAAATCAATACATAGTTTTTATAGCCATAGCTAGAGTTATAGTAAGATAGTTAGGAGGTCACTCTACTGGTTGATCTCATTACTCTATGCGACGTATACTTTATTATTATTTCCGTCTCTCTCGTATCATATGTTCCAAATAATGTAATCTCTTGTTTCCTTATAATTGTGAGATTAATTAATGTATTTTGTTCTTATGTGATAATTAATTTTATTTGCTAGTGACATATCACCTGCCAAAAATAACATAACTGTATTAATTTATTTATTTTATCAAAGAAATTAGAATACAGCAGTTTTTTAATATAAAAACTGTTTAGGCGCACCTGCAGTAATATTTACAATAGTTTTATATTTATTTTGTACATTTATATCCATAAATTGTTCAAATAAATACTACCAAAATTGGCCAAAACTACAGATCTGTTAATGCTTTTTGATAGAATTTATTTTTAACAATAATTTGTGCGGTATTATCTTTTTGGATAATTTCTTAGATCACCTGGCAGGTCGAAAGTTCCAACAAAATGATCTGCTTTTTGAGAATCTTATCCTATTTAAATTTCAAGTTGCCACAGATATATTTTTTAAAGTTTTCGCAAAATATATCGGGTTGGCACAAAAGTAATGAGACACTTGGTTTAAGTGTTTACTTTTTTATTATTATTACAATAAAAAAAGTTTAGCCAATGATGTAATTACCATTAGTATCTAAGACTTCTTGCCAACGATCCGGCAAAGTTTGGATGCCTTTTGCCAGAACTCTGATGGCTGTGCCTCGAAAAAGTTGTCCCAACTCCGCCTCTACGTCAGAGAAATCATGTTGATATTGTCAGCCGCAGCCCGCGCACTGTGGCCTAACAAGTACTCGTATAAGTATAGTGTTCGAACTTGTCGCTCGTCCTTTTTTTTCAAACTGACTAAACAAATCGCGAGCGCGTCTTTATATACCCTACACCAGAAGTACCTAGAATGTTCTACAACATTCTAGAATATTATCGAAAAAATTGATTTTAAAAAGGAAATGTTATAGATTTTTCTAGTGTGTCTCATTACTTTTGTGCCAACCCAATATTTGCACGCACCTAGCAATGTTAAAACCCCGACTAAATAGATTGTCTTTTTTTTATTATTCTTTTAATATTAACTACAACATGTAAAAATTGCATACACCCTAAAATATATTATTGGGAAAGATAAATTAATATTTTCGAAAAATTCGGGGTTGACTTAGCCGCGCCACTCACTAACCAGTTCTCCAGTTTCGTGTTGGAGTATAATAGGAGAGGTATGTGATAAGTTTTCAGTTCAAATACTTACCCTAAAATTGGTGCCAGCGACCTTACACTTGAGATGCGCTGGTCACTTCTTAACAGATAATTTGGAAAATATTAGGGTGTAAAATCAAAACAACCACTTAAGCGATACGTAAAACAAAATCACAGAAAAAACATTGTTTACGAACGAGATTTTTACAATTATAGCAATATTTTAACAAATAAAATGACCGTATTTATGGTAAAACCTCTAAAGAAGCTTCATGATTAGTCAACAGAGTACATCGTGAGCATCATCCGACTTCAGTGATGGTGGTTTGGTGGGGTGTTAGCTATGGAGAAGTGTTCGAGCGATATTTTTGTGAAAAGACATCAAAGCATTTGCATTATCAAGAACGTAGTTAACCCCTTAACAACACCATGTTCAATAACCAAAAATGGTCCTTTTAGCAAGACTCAGGTCATAAAGCTCGATCCACCCAATTTTGGATAGAAACAGACGTTCCGGACTTCATTGGAGTTCAAGACTAGGCGTATCTAGTCTAGATATTAATCCGCCGGCTTGAGATTTATGATCAGTTTTGAAGAGTAATTCTTGCTCTTAGTGCCATGATAATTTAGAGTCCTTAAAAATAACTGACCTCAACTTAGACCACCTTCAGACAGCTTCGAATAAGCTATATTACGACTTTAATTTATGTGTTAAACTAACACACTGTAATATTAATAAATGTTACGCTGCAATAAATTTTAATTTCTATATAACAATATTTATGTCAAAATAAACTCAGAGAGCTAAGTAATATGACCTATAAGAATGTTTGTACATTTATTAGCACCATGAATATCAAGGTTTCTCATTTTATTATAGGATCGAATGTGGAGAAAAACTAGATCAAAATCGAGCATGTTCTGTTACGGAGCTGATCCTAACCGCAATTGGGATTACAATTGGTTAAGTAAGTGTCGTTAATTTGACTATATATACGATATATGCCACAATAATTACTAAGTTCCTACTAGGAAAATCAATACAGTACACAATACAGTGGTATTGTTTGCACAGCACATTGCACTAACAGCTGCAGCACCAATGCTGGAATGCGCTCACCTTTCAACGCAATATGACATTCAAAATTTGCGGCAAGGAGGTTTTAAACTCCTGTACAGATCACTGACTAATACGTAATATGATGTATAAAATTTGACAAATTATACAACTCTTTTGACCTCAGATTTGATCTGTTTTCTACATTTCATATACGTTCATGATGAAGAAGTATTTAAAAAAAAACATTAATTCTCGAAATCTAGATATCGCTACGGTACTTTCTTGATTTCTCCATGACAACCCTTCGGTTTTCTTTCATGTATAAAAGTAAATAAATTTTCAAAAGTCAATAAACAAATCATATTCTATTTGTACTTTTTCGTATTTATATTGATATCTAAGTTTCGAACTTTGCGAATTTCAGGTTTTTTAATATTTTAGTTAAAAGGAACGGAAATTAATATCTTTGGTCCATTCATTTCCTGCAAAAAACAACTTTTGCTAGAGTAAATGTCGCTGATGGCAAAATTATTCATTTGTTTTTAATATTTGTGTATATTACATTGTATTTTGTCACTGTTTGTCTCACCCAAATAAATAAAATAAAAAAAAAGTAACTTACACTAAAAATATATTTCACATTAATACTGGCATAACTGATAATATAAGTCGCCTACATATTTTTTTAATGAGATGAAATTCATAGAATCGCCTACTTTTTATTTTTATTTTTCTACGAAGCAATAATTGTTTAGTCTTTTAATACTGTTATGCGAAAATTTTCGCAGATGATGTTGTGAAGCCCCTATAACAATAAATACTAAAAAATGGATCAAATGCACATTTAAGGGGGTTCCCTTTAAAATAGACACGATTTTTTGCTATTTTGTAGTTACTGCATTGTTTGTGCGCGAGTCCGACTCGCACCAGGTTAATTGGTTATTTGTCTCCAATGTTAGTAGATAAAAAATATAGAGAAATACAAAAAAATTGCAAATTTTACTCTACTTTACATTATTTTATGTATTTTCTATTTTAATTAACTTTAAGTACGGCGAGGTTTCACTACTGTTACATATAGACACCAGAAAGCAAATAAATAGTAACCCGCAAAACCAAAATTGTTCTTTAGAGATGAATAACTTTTTATTTAGTCGAAAAAAGAACTTACTTTCGTACTTAAAATTATCATTTTTGTTTCTACGGAGTCTTTAATTTTTTTGTTTTTTCGGAAAAATAGAGGTTTCTGCTCTGTATAACAATTTTGGTTTTGCTACGTGTCTGCTGTCTAGCGTGTTTATTTTTATTTCGATTAGAACACGGAGCGACGAGCAACCCCTGCGACTACCAAACGTATGGTGGTTCAAAACCATTCTCTGAAGTAGAAACTAAGACCCTTTCAGCCTACATCTCGAGTATAGAGCACCTCCTTGCGTACGTCGCGTTCCACTCTGACGCTCAGATGTTGCTGGTTCCATATTCAGATTCTATCGAACACGGAGATAACTACGATGACCTGGTGAGTGTGTATTTTCATTTTCAGCAAAAAAAAATATATTTCTTATGATTGTAGCTTATTACATTTTAAGGATCCCCCATCCATCTCGATTTTGACCTATTTTTTGTGTTTTTTACCACAAAAGAACCTGTGCTCTAGCATTGAAAACATTAATAGGATGATTAGGCACACAATTTATAATTTCATCTGTATTTACAAAAAAAAAGTAGTTTTAATCCTAAACTAATCATTAATTATTATTATAACTTATTTGACAGACATTTTCTTGTAAAAATACTTTTTACTATTCACACGAATTAACGTGCCAGCTTTTTATATACCTCACCAGGGGAGGAGAATCCGGGAAAGGGCCAATTAACATTGACCCATTAAAATTTCGATATGCTAATACGACTCCAAAGAAATGAATGTTTCTAAATTATATAATGCAAAAGAGGTAAGACCTGACATTACCTCAGATGCACAAATAATTGATTATAAGATTATCTTCAAGAATATGATCTTATCAAAACTATTAAGACGATTCGAGTTTTTTTCATTCGAGGACAAATATATGGGAATCTCAGATGTCATGTCATTAGTTCGAATATAATTCGCAAAGTTAAAAACCTTATATTAAAAACAAGAGATAGAACAGTATTATTGACATTCCATTTTGAAACTAATGTGCGATGCTCGGTCCGTATTTTATGGATACCATGAACGAGATCTGACATGGATAAAGATAGATTAGACACGTTTGCAGTCTCATTCCAATGAACTTAAAACTTTTTCTAGATCCAAATCGGGAAAACTTCATTAGAGTACGGCGAAAGAGTCAACGGAGAGAAGTACGACGGACCAGGGACGGCGGCGGAACTTTTGTGTAAGCTTTCCTTATTCTATTTAACTTTTTAAATTTCCCCTATATTTACAAGCACAAGAGCACTCATCACGACAACAATTAAATATCAGAAACCTTTATATTATACTTCAATGTATTACGAATTCATAAATTTAATAAATTTATTTTAATAGGATATCTTGTGCTAAAGTTAAGATATTTTAGGATGAGATAATAATATTATAATAACATCACATACATTACCCAGATTCTAAAAGTTAAAGCCATTGTGTTAATTTATGTTATTAAAACCTCATTAATCTTATTTTATCTTAAAAGGGTAGGCAAGGAAAGCTGCCTTTAAGTTCCTATAAGGAAATATAACGCGAATAAAAAGAGAGGGAAGATTTTGGTAATATCTAGTAAAATAAATGTTTTCCGAATTATATAATCGAATCAAATTAATATTGAACTTATTTAAAGTGATGTAATATATGTAATTTTTTAACATTCATGGAATCCAGCGGTCTCTTTTACCAGTTGAGTAACGGCTCGAGGCCTGCAATGGCTAACGTACTCTAGAATAAAACCTGTTTTTTTATAATTAACGAGATGATTATACTTTCACGCAATCTGTTATTAATCACTCTGGAATTGAACCCAAACCTTCGAAGTTGGCGATGTCAAGTTCCAAGTGTAACAAATATTTGTTTCAAACAAAAACTTCGAAACTAAAATTGAAGTAATTAACTCTTTGAAATAAGACATTAATTTCAAGTATTACAAACTTTATACTAAGGTTACGTCTAACTTTAAAACTCGATAGTATCCAATAGTCTGTCCTTGTTATCAACACAAACGCGAGCAGGGAATCAACATTGCAAACTTAATCTTGCTTCTACATCTTAAACTTTAAACTGCGTTGTGCCTAATTTCTTGAACTACTACGAAGTAGAAGTACAACAATTCGCTGTTCCAACAAAATAATGACGTAATTACACTTTTTAAGTAATAACTTTTGTTTTAATCAATGAATATACATTTTAATTTATCAAAGCACAGATTCACATATACTAATGTCAAATTTACATAATAATAGGTATTATATATATTATTTTAAAAGGAAAACTACCTTAATGACTGAATATCAATGCTCTATCAGACAATCATTGAAATTTTATATTTTAATGTCACTATCTCCTAGGTCCCGGGTTAGATTCCTGGTCGGGTCAATATAGAAAATGGCCTATCCATATTTTAACGCAAGGGAAACGCAACCTTTAGTCTTAAACCAGAGCTCTTCGACCCCGTATCCAACCTGAAAAGGACAGGCTTAAACGAGGCCGGCTACCTCCGAAGAACCCTCGGGGTGAAGGACCCAGAATCCGGCAAGGAACCCACCAGGTCTAGCCCCACTTCTGGGGTCTCCTATAGTGCCCCCCCTTTGCGGGCGGGAGAACACCAGGATACCTGAACGCCTTTTCCTTAGACGGTGGACCGTCCCTGAGGCTAGTCTCATAAGGGTAGGGATGCAACTCTGTCTGCCGGTCCACAGAAGGAGGGGATACTGGGTGTGGTGGTACCTTCGTTGTCTCAGATTGTCTTAGACACCCCATAATACAGAGACTTGGGGCTTCATTCAGCAACTCATCTTAGATACTAGGCCATGTATGTGATGTTGTCATATATATATATATATATTTTAGACTCTGCCCCAAAGGTAGGTGACTAATTTAAGCTGATGTCATCAAACAATCTCTAGAATCATCACTTCGATCGACCGTATTTTAGGCAACATAACAATTTCCTTCTGTCTTTATATCATATTTACGTAAGTATGTCTCGAAATTCAGACAAGGCATCTGGTGGCAGCATGGATTGGGTACGAAACAAACTTGGCACACCCATCGCTTACACATATGAGCTTCGCGGCACCTACTTCCACTGGCCACCGAACAGGATCCACGAGCAAGGAGACGAGATCACGCAGATGCTTCTTGGACTTTTTATAGAAGCAGAGAAGCTGGGGTATTTCTAAAAAACCTGCCTCAGTACTCTTATAAGCTGTACAGGATTAATTTGCAATCAATGCAATGAATTTTATATTACTGTTTAGCTATCTACGTTTTTTTTAATTCAGTTAAAATAATGAAACATCATTGCATGTTTTGTGCGAGGCTATTATGCCGCTGTTTTGTTGATTTGTGCAACGACATTTTCCATTATTAATTTTACCAAGTTTTGGTGATGTTTCTTATTACAACTATTTTTTTTTCGATAAATTGAAAATGCATTATATTGCAGTGTTATGTCTACGGTCATATATTTATTTATTATAAAAAAAAATTAAACAAAATAAAGATTTTTCATATTAATGAAGAAAGGGTTTTATGTATTCCAATTCAGACTCGTTGTTAATTCGAAGAACTCATATTGTATAAAGTATTGATGATGTTATTTAATTCAAATGCTTTTATATTTAAATATTTAATGGACAAAAAATAGTATTAAATTAATGAATATTGCACGATAAATCTAATTCTTAATTATTGTATGAATCCTTTGATTATAATATGAACCTATTGTTTCTTTTATTACCATGATTTGACATTCACTAGTTTTTATGAAATTTTATTTTTTGTATTTTTTTTTTGTAATTTGATTTTAATATTTGCACATCATTTCGACGGTAAAATATGCTGGTCTCAAATTATAAAAGTACCCTGTAACCATATTTTCGCAAACAACGATTATTATATAAGAATAGTAACACAGTTTTTTTTTTTGCAATAAGATTGATTTTTTTTTCAATGAATTAAAATAGAAAAGGATATAATTTATTATTTTGGAAAGAATAAAGAATTAGACAAAAGAGACCAAATATGGAATAGTAACTATACTTAAGATGGAATATTACTTCCTAAATTATTCTTTATAATGATTTATTTACACTTTTAAATCCGTAAACCGATTTGGAATTTCTTTAACATTTACAAACTATGCCTCAGTGGAATACTTAAAGGAAGAATTTCAATAATCCATTCCCTATTTGGTTACTTTTCTCGCAGACGCAGTATAGACCATCACAGAAACTAACTAAATTGATTAAAGTATTAATTAAATATGTAGGTATTAAAACAGTAGGTTTTTAATAAATAATAGCCGATATCTATATATCGTATTATTTTAAACGGCTTTATTAAAAACTTAAATGTGATGAAACATAATACTTAAACAAAAATTATATCTTTAGAATTGTGACGGGTTCGGTGTTTAGGTAATTGAAAGGCTGACTAAGCTTAATAGGTATATTAATAGTGTAAATTGAAATAAAATGTATTATGATAAATTTTAACACTTTTTGTATTAGAAATTGATGCTAGGTTTTCACTGGATTATTCGTTACTTAAAATTTCAAATTACGAACAGTGAATATTAAAAAAAATGTATGTTAAAGACAATAAATAAAAGATTAGATGCAGAAACCTAGGATGAAATAAACGGTGTGGTACGATACACCGCTATAGAATTATTCACAATTTTCTTTTAAAAGTTCGTCACTGAAAGTCGTTGAAGGTTTTCGATTGGGAATTAACATAATACCTTTATTACACAGCTACGGCAAACACTCTCAATTTGCGTCTTCAAGTTTTACCGGTAATTTTGATTTTTTGCCAATTTACGGTCAAGTTACAGTATGCATTCGAAAAATTACTTTCCCTACCTCAATTTAGAGTAGAATTTTGTTTGACGAATTTTGTTATTTTTTTTTGTTTAGCCGAATAATGTCAAGTACGTGTCGTGGCTTGTTGTTGAAAACGCCAATTTTACGCATCCATGAATATGGAGTGTATAGTAGTAATTTGAATAATTAACTATACCTATAATAGTAAAGATTTGATTGTTTGTTTGCATGGAATAGGTTCTGAAACTTCTGAACCGAATTTTTAAATTCGTTCACCTACAGGAATCTAGATTATATATGGTTAATGTGGGCTATTATTTGTGGCTACGAACTTGCGGAAAAGCAGCTATTAAAATTAAAAATTAACATAAATTTTTGTCTCGATTAAGATGTGAATTCGGAAGTTAAAATTCGGAGGTTTCGCATAGATAGTCATCGAATTGCAGACCGAAATTCTAATATCTCGAAATTAGGAAGGCATGTAAAGCTGCTGGTCTCAGTTCCATCTTCAATCGTTAACCCACCAATCTCTTTAAGCAAAGAGCTAGTGAAAAAAAGAGAAGTACTCCTAAAATTTTATATTTCAGTATGATGGAGTGAGGGTATCCATCATTCAGTACCTAGTACTCTGTACCCTGTGTGTAGATCTGGTGGCGGGAGTGAGTAATAAACTTCTGGCGACATTTTTATGAAGGAAAGTAGCTCTGTGGCGTAGTGGATAAGCGCCGCGGCCCGCGATCGTTATCGTTAAGCAACTTTCGCAAGGGTAGGTCATGGGATGGATGACCAAAAAATTATTATCTCGAGCTACTCCGTGCTTCGGAAGGCACGTTAAGTCGTTGGTCCCGACTGCATTTGATGATGACATTTTTATATGATCTAACTTATAATAATTAAGGATTAACTCAATTTTTAAACATTACGAAACTTTCTAAACTCATTTTACACTAGCTTCTGAGATCTGTTGATTTACCACGTTTTCCGATTACGTAATCTGAGGTGTATATCAGGTATATGTTTTTTGCTAACTTTAAACTATTAAAAAGCACCTATCTAGACCAGCGCCTTTATGCGCTATGACCACATATCAATTCCTTGTTTTCAAACCATGTCAATATCATATTAAGATAAGACATTTGCTATATTTTAATGGTACGTGCACACTGAATGAAACTCCGTTGTAAGCGCACGACTTCTGCGCGATATGAACTGTCAACAATTCCACACTGTGCCGATTGCCTGTGACTACCAAAGTTTAAAACGGCGGCGTTCTAATTGATTCGCTTAAAAAGGACGCCGCTCATTGGCAGATACAGCTTGGAAAAGGGCTACAATGATACAGCAGATTCCTTACCGTGACATGGTTAAGGTAAGATGTGATATTGATGTAGTTTTCGCGTGATAAGATTCAAATAATAGATAGGAAAGGGCCCAGGGCGTCAAAAGCTTCGTAAACACATTATTGCAGAAATACACTATTTTGACAGAATAACATACTCCGACTCGCACTTGGTAGGCCATGTGCTGTTTTCAGACAGCTGTGACGGCTTTAAGTTGCTTTGTGGTCTGATGGCCTACTGAAATCTATTTCCGTAACTCTAATGTACGTGACTGATACTGATTCTGATGCACAGATAAGCTTCACTAATATAGTACTATCAAAAAAAACTTTATTCAAATAGATTTCTTAAAAGTACTTTTGAATCTTTTGACGTCTATTGGCTGATAAGAAGAACGAGCAAGCAACTCACCAGCTCTAATGGGTGTAACGATATTCACAAAACAATTAGAGAAAAAAAACTATGATCTTACAATGATAATATAATAATTAAATTATATAATGGGTTTAGAAAAAAAGACCTATCCAGTTGCTGGACCATCTTAAGTCCAAGCAATCTTATCTGTTATATAATTAGATAGCTTAGAATAAGCATTTTTAATGAATATTTAATAGTAGATTCAAACTGTATGATATCTAATTGTTGTATTATGCTTGGAACCTTATTGTAGAAGCGCACACAAAGACTATAGTCAAATGATAGGCACCGTTAATTTATTTTTATTTCTAGTATAAAAATTGTGTACCTGAATTTTTATAGAAAATCATAAGAACGATCAGAAATCTCCCGAAATTCTGTTCGTGAACAATATTGATGCCTGCCACCAGTTCCGCCATGATGATTATAGTAATCCATATCCTAATCGAACATAAAGATTTGTGCCGGTACCAAAAATATGCCTGATTTTATATTCCACTCCCACATTTAGATCTCCATAAAAGAGATTTGAAAATTATAAATCTGTATAAGATTTTATAAGCGGCACTTTCAAAGCGTCGCTTTCGGATAATAATATTCTACACAAACAACGGCCTGGCGCTACTAATCCAGGATTATTCCTGTCTCTGCCACATGAATATTCTCTTTTAATCCTACGGTCTCCTCAGTTAAACCATTCGTTATCTATTTTAATACCACAATAATAAATATTAGACAATATCATATGCATTGCTCAGATTCGAAATTATGTAGCTAATCATCATTAGCATATTAATTTCCCCGCTGCTAAAGCACAAGTTTTCTATACGCGTGTTTGGTAATACCTGTATAATCCCGAATATGGCACATACGGTATGATGAATAGAACCCAGAAAAATGATCACTAAGACTGAAACCCAGCACATGACCTAGATATTCAGCTTTTTTTCTTCGAAGTAAAACTGTACGCTGACAACCCTAAAAACAGCTGTTGTATTGTATTTGGTCATCGACTCCATGTGCCGAACTAGTTTAAAAAATAACAGAAGTTAAATAAATCTAAAGATAAATGCCTAGAATAAATATGCATCTGAGAGGAATTTATTATTTCCAAACAAAGAAAAAGTTAGTAGTAAATGACTTTTAACTATAAAAAAACACTAATCTTGTGATTAACGGTGTTTCAAAAACTATTAATATGAAAACTTCTGTAATAATACAGTCAAAATAAAAAAGAAATTGCAAATACTTTGATTGAAGTTCAATATCTGCACCATTGCTCACATTAGTCTATGCAAGAAGGAGCGAGAGAGATATAAAATCGACGACAATGTGTATTGAGAAACTCGGGTTTCTGATGTGTCAGTAAGGTTCTGTAGATTATTTGCTTTGAAGTTTTGTTATTTTTTTCATAAAGCCGTGTTATTTTCACGAAACAATAAAATACGGACTTATACAATGATATTAATAATCTAAGTATCTCTCTTATTCTTAGTTTAAATGATAATTAAATAAAGGTTAGTTGTAATGGAAAGGTCTAATAATAAATAATATTTCTTGACGCGGAACCCCAAAATCGGTACACT